TTTTAACATGGTCTCGTATAAACTAATTGATGTAGCTTGATTTGAATTGAGATTTGTAAAAGAACTTACCTGCTGGTCATCACTACAAGAAAAATCGTGAATCGCGACGGAATTTTTCCGTCGCGAATGGGCAATATTCCGTCGCGATTCGTGATTTTTCTTGTAGTGCATGGAAGACAACTTCTTTGGATTTGATTATGGAAGACGATTTTCTCTCGGGATTTCATACGCTCTCACAACTAGCAAGCGAAGAGCGTTTCTAGATTTCATACGCTATCACAACTTCCTTGATAGTGTTTGAATTGCAGAGGATGTGAAATATATATAGATGTTTAGATATCTTAGTAATTGATTTGATTGGCTTAAACTTAGTAATTGATTTTGATTGGCTGGCTTATCTTAGTAATTGATTTGATTGGCTTAAACTAAGTAATTGATTTTGATTGGCTTGCTTAAACTTAGTAATTGATTTTGATTGGCTTAAACTTAGTATTGGATTGGGCGGGAACTTTTTACAGTATCTCATTTTGCTTTAATATATATAGAGATATAGAGATGAAACTTAGAAACTGGTAATTTTGAATGCTCGTATTATTAGCATGGTTATGGCTTCAGCCTTCAGATAACATGTTCAAGTATATACTCGTATTATTAGCACTAGTCTTTTCTATGCGCGATGCGCAAAAATATATGCCCAATATTTATATTTTTTAAAAAAAAAAACTAACAAATCTCTACTAATTAACACCTATATGAAATCAATTTATTTATTATAATAATCCTGATGGATATATTGGAAATGGCCCAATAATAATAGGGACCCAGGGTCCGAGAATGTAAAACCCGAGCAGCCCAAGAAGAGTCACAAGCCTGGATTTTGTCTCTGGGCCCAAAATGATGGGATTTGACTTAGTCTTGTGGCCCACTGTATGGGCCTGACTTAGTCTCGTGTCCCACCACGAATTTAGCACTGATTAGTTATGATTATTTTGTATAAATAGACATGCATTTGTCCTATTGAAGACATCACTTGCTACCTGGTCTAAACGACAAATCTTTGTAATAACTTTGCAGTACGGATTAATACAATATTTTGTCTCTGTGACATACGTTTATCCCCTTATTTTGCCATTGTTTTATCCTTATTATCCATGTGCTATTTCCTTTCTTAATCGGGTTAATTAATTCGGACCCCGGTTAATTTTCTCCATCAAATCTAATATATAATGTTTACAAATATTATTATCATTAAAGAATATAAGAAAATATATGGTGGATGCATGTGCATGGTACCAATAATGGAAAAGATAACGGAAGTTATAACGGTAGAGGTATTTTTATCCAAAAAATTATATAGTACAGTACAACTCTAAAAGCACAATGACAAAATGATTAGCATTAAAAACTTGGACATAAATGAGGGATATAACTTTGATTGAGACTTATAATGTTTTTAGATTTATTCATTTAATTTAATAGCACCTTATCTCTATTTTTATTTATTGGGTATATTTTTGATTGGCCAAACCTAATATGATGAGTAAATTAATTATTGAAATGGTACATTGAATATAATAATTGTGGATGAAATAACGGCCAATCTGTCCGGTTTTACCAAATGGTCTGCTCTATGGAAGTTGAAGGTTCCCCCAAATGGAAGACCTTCCTATGGAGAGCAATTAGTGGTATTCTTCCTATCATCACTAACCTTCTTATAAGGAGAGTAGAAGTGAGCCCATCATGCCCTATGTGTGCTTTATTTCATGAGGATGTCACGCACTCACTCCTTGAGTGTGAGTATGCACATATTGTTTGGAATCAGTCTCATCTCCCTATATCTTGTGTGAATGGTGGTTCTTTTGCAGATTGGTTTCAAAATGCTATGACTGTGTTAATAGATGATATTCTTGTTAAAGTAATTGCAGTTCTATATCATATCTGGAGTGCGAGAAATTCCGCAGTTTGGGACGTTTGCATGCAGCCGTCAAGACGTACGTGGAGGAGGGTTGTTGGTGCTATTTCGGCTTGGGAATCTGATGTGCCATCCACGGCTTTGCCTCGCATCAACACACGCCACCGCCAGTTGGGCTTCGTTATTTCTTCGACGCATCTTTCCGCACGGACACGGGAGCAGCTACCTTTGGGGCGGTGATCCTCATGGACGGCAGCAACTTTGTAGCCGCGGCGAATGGCGGGCTGCCCTTTTGTGAGAATGCTCTTATGGCTGAAACATTGGCCTGTAAGGAAGTGTTATCTTGGTTAAAAGCTCACGAGGTTGAAAATGTTGATCTTCACATGATTGCTTGATTCTTCAGAATTATATCGAGAATTCTTCGATTCCCCTCCCCCCCCCCCCCCCAGATCGTATGTTGGTATCGTGATTGATGACTGCAAATCCATTATGGGTAGGTTTTCTTATCGCTCTTTATTTTTAGTTTCCAGACATATTAATGTTATTGCTCATTCTTTAGCTTCAAAAGCCTCGTATCAAGCTAATGTTTTGTACTGGGACTTTGTCCCACCTGACTTTATTTCGATGCTTCTGCAGTAATGATATTGCTTCGTTGTTTTGCTTTCAAAAAAATAATAATTTTACGCTTTAGTCATCAATGTCTAATTTTGGCCAAGTTTGGTAACATAGTTAGCTTATCAGCTAATTTTGGCTATTTGACCATTACTAATTGTTTGACTTGGTTAAACAATCAATATAAGTGTTTGATTAATTAGTTTTTTGTAATAGATTATTGCTCTAAAACGTTTGATGGATTTAATTAACCCGAGGTTGCCCGAATCAATAAATCCGATAAAGAACGGATAATGTAAAAGGTTATGTAACGTAGGCAAAATAGGACAAATATGAGTTGTAGGGTCACGGGGACCAAATAGTGTATTGATAATGATGACTTAGAGCTATTACAATGGTAAAGTAACGCTATTACACTTGATGATTTAGGACACCAGGATAGAGGATGTCTTAACGGGACAAAGGGTAGGCATTTTATACATCCCAGACCTCCTAACTGCCCCCCCCCCCCCACCTAAATTGGGGGTGGTTGCATCCCGCTTTGACCTCGCCCGGTCCGGAGATCGGGCTTGCGTACCATTCGCTCGAGGCGTCATGCCGAGGCGGCCCGGGTTGAGCGCGGGGCTCAACCCCTGGGCTCCGGGTCTACTTGGATCCTCCGTGCTCCGTCCTCTCGGGTCGAATCGGCTCCATTCGTAATATATCCATCAACGTTAAAATTTAAAAACTGTTCAAAACAGCTTTTTGAGAAAGTCATTTTGCATGTAATTAGCTATCAACTAATTTACCAAACATATTGAGACAGAAGAACGTCGGAGTATTAGCATAAATATGAGACTTTCTACATTCAGGAGGACACCGTCTAATTATTGTACTAAAAACACTTGAGCAATATTGAAACAGAAGAACGTTGGAGTACATTCGAGAGGACACTGTCTAATTATTTTACTAAAAACACTTGAGCAATACAATTACAACTGGTCACTTATTGATTTATATTTTCCGGTAACATATTACGTTGGGGTACATTCAAGAGGACACTGTCTAATTATTGTACTAAAAACACTTGAGCAATACAATTACAACTGGTCACTTATTGATTTATATTTTCCGGTAACATATTACGTTGGAGTACATTCAAGAGAACACTGTCTAATTATTGTACTAAAAACACTTGAGCAATACAATTACAACTGGTCACTTATTGATTTATATTTTCCGGTAACATATTACGTTGGAGTACATTCAAGAGAACACTGTCTAATTATTGTACTAAAAACACTTGAGCAATACAATTACAACTGGTCACTTATTGATTTATATTTTCCGGTAACATATTACGTTGGAGTACATTCAAGAGAACACTGTCTAATTATTGTACTAAAAACACTTGAGCACTGGTCACTTATTGATTTATATTTTCCATTTTCCGGTAACATATTTACTGTCACATTAAATTTTATTATTAAATTTAAGGGTAATTGACTCTGTTACAACGTAGTATATGTTCATAACTACTCTCTCAACCTGCTGAAGTACAAAGAGTCAATATCGCCAACACTGAGGATCGAACCCACACCCTCCCATATGGGAGTGCAACCTTGGTGCCATTAGACCACAAAGTCTTGGCAAATTGACATTTAACGGGAGGACCAAATTTAGAAAAAAAATCAATAGTCAATGGCTATTTATGGTCAAATAAAAAAGTCGATAATAAAAATTGGTAAAAGTCAATAGAGAAGGAAACATTTATAGTGCAATTGAAAGTTGATGATAAAAACTGGTAAATTTAATGTTTACTAAATTGACATTTAACGGGAGGAGCAAATTTATAACAAAATCAATAGTCAATGGCTATTTATGGTCAAATTAAAAGTCGATAATAAAAATTGGTAAAAATCAATAGAGAAGGAAACATTTACAGGGCGTTTGGTTGGAAGGGGGGAATTACGTGGGAAAGGAATTGCAATTCCATGGGAGATGAATTACTGGGAATAAAGTGGGAATTTAAATTCCAGTGTTTGGTTTACAGGAATAGAATTACTGGGAATTTTAATTCCAATGTTTGGTATACATGGGAATTGAAAGGGAATAAGTAGTATAAAGTCCAAAATGCCAATTATTGTTGTGGTATTAATTTTAGGTTAAAAAAAAAAAAAGGATAATTTTGTCTCATCACTAGCTTTTTTTCTTCCTAAAATCCCAGGAATTAAAATACCAGGGGGGACATGAGATTTTAATTCCATGAAAATGGGGGAATTGCAATTCTATGGAATTACAATTCCTTCCAACCAAACTAAGGAATTTTATGGCCTTTGGAATTAAGTGGGAAGGGAATTTAAACTCCCTCCAACCAAACGCCCTGTTATGGTGCAATTGAAAGTTAATGATAAAAATTGGTAAATTTCAATAGTCAATATATCATTCATGAAATTAACTCATCTACAAATCTAGAACTTAATTTATTAACCGTGGTTACATTCCAATTACCACTACAAACAAATTTTGATCAAATGGAAATGAATCTCTTTAAAACCTCTTCCATATAAAATGATACAATAAGGACGAAGACTTTATTTAACAATTAAATTATAGTAAATGATGTCCGAATCTTCCTTTCAAGAAGCCTTCATTTATTCCACAATTCAATGGAAGATCTGAAATTAAAAAAAAAAAAAAATTAAATAAGAGCTTCGAGTAGATGATAACATCATTAATAACAATGTATTTCAAAATTTATAAATATCATTTACCTGGTATACAACAAAAAGTAGAAGAGCAATTAAAGCTTAGTACTTGGTTGGAGGGGGTGGAGAAGCGTAAATGTATGTTGATTGCGGAGGAGATGGGGATGGTGGGGGAGGTGAATGGTAGTAATACGGTGGAGGGGGAGAAGGAGATGGTGGAGGAGGGGATTGATAGTAGTATGGAGGTGGAGGAGATGATGATGGTGGTGGTGGAGACTTGTAGTAGTATGGTGGTGGGGGTGATGGTGACAGAGGAGGCGGGGACTTGTAATAATAGAGTGGAGGAGGAGATGGTGAGGGTGGAGGAGGAGATTTGTAGTAGTAGGGTGGTGGTGGCGATGGAGATGGGGGTGGTGGTGACTTATAATAGTATGGTGGCGGGGGTGATGGTGATGGAGGAGGTGGAGACTTGTAATAGTAGGGTGGGGGAGGAGACGATGAGGGTGGAGGAGGAGATTTGTAGTAGTAGGGTGGTGGTGGCGATGGAGATGGGGGTGGTGGAGACTTATAATAGTATGGTGGCGGGGGTGATGGTGATGGAGGAGGTGGAGAGTTGTAATAGTAGGGTGGGGGAGGAGATGGTGAGGGTGGAGGAGGAGATTTGTAGTAGTAGGGTGGTGGTGGTGATGGAGATGGGGGTGGTGGAGACTTATAAAAGTATGGTGGCGGGGGTGATGGTGATGGAGGAGGTGGAGACTTATAATAGTAGGGTGGAGGAGGAGATGGAGATGGTGGAGGAGGAGATTTGTAATAATATGGTGCTGGTGGTGATGGAGATGGGGGTGGCGGAGACTTGTAGTAATAAGTGGATGGTGGTGGAGGTGACTTATAAGAATAGGTTGGTGTATGCAATGGTGAAGGAGGGGGTGGTGATTTGTAGTAGTAAGTTGGTGGTGGGGGAGATTTGTAATAATGTGGAAGAAGGGTAGGTTTGGGCTTCTCACATTTCTCATAAGGAGTCTTTGGGGCATAAGCAAATGGTTTTGCATATAGAACAACTTCATAATGTGTCTTTGATTTTATTCTTAGTGTAGCACCCTTAATGCCCATATGAAAGTTAGTAGGGATGTTACACTTGGAACCCTTGGGTGGTGTGTGAAGTTTAGCCTTGCATGCCTTTCCTCCATATTTCTTGTAGTCGAACCCTTTAACTTCAATGTTATACTTTCCATTGATCTTGGTGGCTCCATATGCCACAATTTTCTTTTCACCGGCCATACATGTTACCTCAACAATTGCACCTATATGAAGAAATGTCAATCAAGAGTGATAAATCAATAAGTAGATAATTATAAATATATATACATACATACATACATACATACATATATATATATATATATATATATATATATATATATATATATATATATATATATATATTACTCCTAGTACCCTAATTGACTGTCTCATTTGCTTTTTGCATAGTTTTTAATACAACATAAGAAATGTTACTAAATTTTTAATTTTACCCCTCAAAAGTATATGTTATTTGTACAAAGTACAATTGTACTTACCTCTAGAAATTTGTAAAGTCAAAAGGGTAAATTGAGAAATATAGAGTGATAGTTATATTCAATTTTGAAAATGTAACACTATTTCGGGACAAACAAAGAAAGGAAAGTAAGACATGTAATGGGACAGGGAGTAGTATATTTGTTTTGTATTAAAAGTCCATTGCAAATTAAAAGAAAGCTTTGTCAATAAAACCTAAAAAGAAATATAATTTAAAAACCCAATCATACAATTGTTGTTGAAAATGGTTGAAGGGAAAATCCTACCTTTGAGATGTTTCATGTTATAGGATTTCTTAGGATATGCCCAATCGTAACACTTGAAGCAGTACACTTTTCCAACAACTTTAACCACTAATTGATCATAATGGAGAGGATAATAATGAGTTGGTGGTGGTGAGGTGTAATAATACGGAGATGGAGGGGATTTCTGGGGTGGTGGTGGGGAAGTGTAATAGTATGGAGTAGGAGACTTTTTAGGTGGTGGTGGAGAAGAGTAGTAGTATGGAGGAGGAGGTGATTTAATTGGTGGAGGGGGAGATACATAGTAGTAAGGAGGAGGTGGTGAATGCTTGGGTGGTGGCGGAGAGGTGTAGTAGTAGGGTGGAGGAGGAGACTTTACAGGTGGTGGTGGTGATGAGTAATAGTATGGAGGCGGTGGTGATTTAACTGGTGGTGGGGGAGAGGTGTAGTAATAAGGAGGGGGTGGTGATTTCTTGGGTGGAGGTGGAGAGGTGTAGTAGTAGGGGGGTGGCGGTGAAGGTGATGGTGGAGGAGGAGATTTATAATAGTATGGTGGAGGAGGAGATGGTAATGGTGGAGGAGGAGATTTATAGTAATAAGGTGGAGGAGGAGATGGTGAGGGTGGTGGAGGAGATTTATAGTAATAAGGTGGAGGAGGAGGAGATGGTGAAGGTGGTGGAGGAGATTTATAGTAATAAGGTGGAGGAGGAGATGGTGAAGGTGGTGGTGGAGATTTATAGTAATAAGGTGGAGGAGGGGATGATGAAGGTGGTGGAGGAGATTTGTAGTAGTAAGGTGGCGGAGGGGAAGGTGAGGGTGGCGGTGGAGATTTGTAATAGTATGGAGGTGGAGGTGAAGGTGAAGGTGGTGGGGGAGACTTGTAAGCATATGGTGGTGGAGGTGAAGGTGAGGGTGGTGGGGGAGACTTGTAAGCATATGGTGGTGGAGGTGATGGTGATGGCGGCGGAGGAGACTTGTATACATATGGTGGGGGAGGCGATTGCACTGGTGGTGGTGGTGGAGACTTATACTCATAGGGAGGTGGTGGAGACGGAGAAGGTGGTGGAGGAGATTTGTATTGATACACAGGAGGCGGAGGTGAAGAATACAAATAACTAGTATCTCCAGAAACTACATTAGTAATAGCCAACAAAGCTAAGACCACCAAGATGTGTGGCAACCGGCGACCTCCGGTGAGGCCACCACCGCGACTCCTCATTTCTTGCCTAAAAAAAACTTAAAGCTTTGTTATTCAGCTGTGAGCTGATGATGACCATAGGGGATTGAATGGCAAAGGTATTTATAGGAGACTACAAAAAACTGGGAAATAGTCGTTGCATGAAATTGTCAACTGCCAACATGGGTACAACTAATATATAATGTTCATTATATCGCATGAAATTGTCCACTCAAATAGAGGTGCAATATAATATTACAAAAACCTCAATCATCGATTCTCTACATAGCTGTATTGGTTTGATCATATATACTTCAATTCTTTAATGTCATACTCTAAATCACTTTTGAATTTCTTAATTTTGATCATTTCTGCATACGAACATGTCAGCTCTGATCTCCCCCCTTGACCAAAATAAGAATAGCAAGTAGAAGACGCAGAGGCTATTTAATTGTACTTTGACATAACATTTATTCCATTTAGATTTGTAAATTATGGGGCAAAATAAAATGAGAACCACATTTCCCTTAGGAACGTGCCAGCTACTTTTTCTGCAACTTAAAAGTATTTATTTATTTACTTTTGTATTTTGGATGTATTAAATGGTAAACTGTTAAAACCTATAATGGTCCGTTAACTATTTCATAATTTTCGAATTAGTACTCAACTATCAATTCATCCAAAATGCCCCCTCAACTATGTAAAATTTTACTTATATATTTAAGTCCCCTATTGCTTATGTTGATAACTAAATTGAATACATTTTTGCATAGTTAAAGGACCATTTTGTAATGTCTGATTTTTCACTTCATAGGGGCGCGTTCAGGTGCGAAAAAGCTCAAAGGTGTGAACATGCGGTGAGATCAAAGGCTCAAATCCAATGAAATTTAAAAAAAAAAAAAAAAAAAAAAAAAAACGTGCATCCTAGAAGTAGAAGCAAAGTCTAAAAATAGCGCACCTTAAGTGTTAAAATGACGCATCACATTAAGGCTTAACATCGCGCACATTCAGCTTTTAAAATGGTGTACCTTAAGTGTTACAAAGACGCATCTTTAGTAGTAAAATCACGCACCTTAAGCATTAAAATGGCGCACATTAAGTATATAACTGACGCACCTTAAATGTTAAAATGACACACCATAACGGTTAAAATGACCCACCTTAAGCTTTGAAACGATGCACCCTAAGTTTGAAGAAAAAGCGCACATTAAGTTCTCAACTGAAGAATTGACGCACCTTAAGCACAGAAACCACACACCTTAAGAAAGAACACGACGCACCTTAAGCACAAAAACTACGCACCTTAAGTTTGACCAATACGCAAAAAGGTCAAATTACCACCGCATTTTTTTTAATATGTGTTCAATCTAGACGATTGATTTTAGCGTGATCAAGGACTATTATTCAACCGCATCTTTCACCTGGACACATCCACCGCATTTAATCTCTAACCTCACTTCATAAATCCAGAATGAAATAATTTTCCTAATTTTTTTTGAAAGGAAAAATATATAAATATATAAGGGCTAATCAACGATTTGGCCCCTCAATTATTAGCGAACTGTCAATGTAGTCCCCCAATCGCTTTTTCATCGATTTAGTCCCCGATATCAATTATTTTAGTCGATTTGCACCCTCCGACCATTTTCCGTCAACATGTCAGTGAGATCTCCGATTTACCATGGGCATTTTTGTCTTTTCCCAACTGCAACCCTTTCTTACCATCGTTGAACAATGGGCGGCGGCGGAGCAGTTTCCGGCAGCGGTTATGTCGCCGGAGATCGCGAAAGCAACGACAACGTCAAGGAGGTCTCCAAAAGCTTCGACTGATTATCAGATGGGTGATTTGTTGTCAGATTGTATCCGCTTCCCAGAAATCGCGCCTCAATGTTATGCAAATTCCAGATATGAGAGCGATCGGGTAGATTTGTTGCAAAGGAGAAATCTGGAGGCAGAGGAGGGTCGAGGAAAGCCGACGGTGAGGTTTTCAGAAGCAGAATGAGAGAAGATGGCGGCGATTAGCTTGCAGTATGGATTTATAAACCGTGAATGTCAAAACGACACCAAGGTGATTAGAGCCTAGAAGCCTGAAGGGACTTGTAAGAACAGCCTTCTGATGTAGAAAAAATAATATGTGAGCTCAGGTGTGTTATGTCGTCCTCAGGGGATTGGGGGATATGGCACGCAATGCGCAATCACAAAAAATTAGGCACTAGCACTAGGCAATCAACAAGAAGCTAAGCAAAGCATAACGAGGATGAGACAACTGTAACTAAACAAAAAACAAAAGCACATATGAACAAGAGATAAATATGGACTCAAGCTAGGGAGCATTATGATCTAGATGCTTTAACAACCTAAGGGATTAGGGAGAACAAGTAACCAAGGAATCAAGCGGGAATGCACATAGGTATCCTAGTCTACGAACCATTCTCGTGATTAATAAACAAGGATTAGAACAAGGAATTGCCCCACTTTCGTGGTGAATCAATTCAAAGTCCATCAAGCACACAAAGCATTAAAGCCCACAATTTCCCCTATTTTCGTAGGAAGAAATCGGGTCTATGCAAGGGGTGGCTTGGATTCATCACCCAACTCTTGTTGAGGCAAGGAATCCTCCAAAAACAAGCTAATGAATGTGTACATCAATCATTAACAAGATATAAATACAAAACCTTCACAAACACATGAACCCTAGGTTGGAGTTCTTCCCCCCTTTTGCAATAATCACAAATCAAGCATAAAGATAGATAATACAACCATAAATCAAGTCTATATACTAATTACTCATGATTCAATAGCATAAAGAGCACAAAAACACAAGCATTAAACATAAATCTTGCAAAAGAAAGAGATAAAAGAAAGAAAACTTCTCTAAAGAAATTGGATGGTGGAATCTTGAAATGTTGGAATCCAAGCTTCAAATCCAAGATTACAAGCTTCAAAAGTGTTAAGAAACATAAATCTAAGTCTAATCTAACCTAAAAATATGAAGGAGAATAAAAGAGAGTGTCTAGGGTTCTAACAAGAGTCAAAACCAAGTTGAAATGACACAAAAACGCGCCTAAATAGAGCAGGGCACAGTGGGACGCCATCAGAGATGGGCGTACGACAGGGGGTACGATTTATTCTAGTGTTCACTGGAATGGACGTACTGGCATGCGTATGGGCGTACGGCAGGGCGTACGCCACCTGCTTCCTTTTTTAGATCTTGGATGGGCTGATGGATGGCAATACGATACTCCTGAAATTCCTAAATGCATTCCAAACTCTTTGGTTGATCTCTTGGTCCAAAAATTATTGCTCGTATCTTCCCACAAGTCATTGAATTTCTCACTTGTTGTGAATGATTGCACCTTGAAATAAAACCAACATAACTTAGTCACAATTCACACAAGTTTTTAAGCAATTCACAAATAAAATGGGTTCAAGAAAGGGTACAAATATAGACAAAAATGCACTTATCACCTTCCCAGTAGCCCTAGCCCTCAAGATATTTCCCATGTCTTCTTGCATCAATAAGCTACCGTATAATCACATAAGCTCGGAGAACAACGACGAAACCAAATCTATATAACCAGACACTAAACCATTACCTCCCCTGACATCATGTCAAGCGACTCGAGGTAAGAAACAGTTTCTTGCGCGAGTATGACCATGGCATACACGTCCCTGATCGGTGAAGGCTCTTTATCTATCGTTCGAATGAATAGTCCATCCGTGTTGATCCTCGATCGAAGGTCAAGGACGATTGTGGCCAAAGTGCGACTTGAAATTGATGTCTCCAAACCTAGAATCGATAGAGATTGGACTGAAATTGCGAGTGAACATGGTGAATCGAAGGATTTCTGGTAGCAATTTTCCATCCGTGCTGATCCTCGAAGCTCTCCCAATCGAAGGACTTCACCATCGCCGCCCTTTCTTATCATTCATTGGACTTCCGAAAAGACAAAAATGCCCATGGTAAATTGGAGATCTCACCGGCATGTTAACGGAAAACGGTCGGAGGGTGCAAATCGACTAAAAATAATTGATATCGGGGACTAAACCGATGAAAAAGCGATTAAGGAACTACATTGACAGGTTGCTAATAATTGAGGGACCAAATCATTGATTAACCCAATATCTAAATATATAATAGCAGAAGATATGATTAGCATCTGTCTAAGAAAATAACGTGCGGTGCAGCTGTCTGAAAGAAGTGGTGACTTAAATATGGTTTGACAAATGTTAGATTGCAAATACTATATATAGCATCTGCCTCAATATAAAAAATTAAGAAAAGAAAATGAAATTAAAGAAAAATGTCTAAAAAAAAAATTATCAGCACCCCGTTTAAGTTTTCTAAACATTAATATTAATAATTATAATTATTTCAAAAAAAAAAAAAAAGGAATTATCATTATATACTATGAAACTTAGAAACTGGTAAATCTGAATGCTCGTATTATTAGCATGGTTATGGTTCTGCCTTCAGATAACATGTTCAAGTATATACTCGTATTATTACTTATTAGCATTTGTTCATTTAATTAAATAGTACCTTATCTCTATTTTTACTTATGGGGTATATTTTTGAATTGGCCAAACCTAATATGGGGACGGAGTAAATTAATTATTGAAATGGTTCATTGGCTATAATAATTTTACCGCTTTAGTCATCATCAATATCTAATTTTGTCAAACAATGTTCTTAATTCTCTGGAGTTATTGTTTTGTCTAAATGTTGGCCTATTTTTGTACTATGGAGCTAGGACTAAAATATGTACAAATTTAATAATTAAGAACATTATTGAATGAAATCGGAACTTGACAATTGAAATAGTAAAATTACTATAGTCGAAGAATCATTTTAATAATTTACTCTAATATGAATTATCTTATTTTTATTTTATGTTTTTCATTAAAATATTATTAAGGAGTGTTTGGTAAATAGTTGTTAGCTGATTGAGTTAGTGAGTTTGACTAGTTGATAATATTAGTTGATTGTTAAAAACTGTTTGATAAATTAATTGTTAGCTGATAGTTGATTATATGCAAAA